CTCCCTTGGCTTTTGTTCAGCCACCCTGAGTCCCTTCGGGGAATAGGGCGGCCTACAAATTGAATAAACTCCAAATTCCAAACTTCTTCTCAGGACATACACAAAGTAGTAACAGGATACTAGACAACAGCTTACATACGTGCAGTGATCACCATCCGCTGGGAACGTTTAGCATATGCAGGGAGCATCTCCACATTAAAGCCTAAAATATACGAAAAGAAAAAGCATTTGAGCAAGTCCCCTCTCTTGATTCTACTACAATATTTACCAACTGGTCAACTTTCAGTTTGTGGATTTCGAGTCTGAGGATTCTTAGCAATGGCTATACTAGTTGAATAATTCTGGGAACTGAAGTTTATCTACTTGGAAGTTGCCCATTAGGAAATATTGCTCTACAGAGTTCTACAGAGGACCAGTAGAACAAGAATATATCCAAATATATCAGTCTGTTCTGACAAGTTGATATGTATCTCCTAAGAATGCAGTCAATCACATGTTTAAAGTCAATCACAAAATAGGATGTACCAGTAAACAAAACAAAATTGAAAAAGGGATTATGTTGTCTTCAGCTGCTCTGACATAGTATCCACGTGCACATGATCTGCACTCAGATGCTTTGTTCTCACTTTTATCAGATCAAAGAAAAATGTGTGTAAAATCTATTTCATACTGAATATTACTGCATAAGTATTTACATTGAATGTTATATTTCAGGATGTACATCATCTCTCCAAAACCTTATATAAAGATAATTCAGCTCTACTGCTCAGAAAAAGGAGGACAAATGGATGAAATAAAAGGGCACTCAGACTCCAGAATGAAGAAAGGCACCCCAAAGTGCTATAAAATTCTCTGGGTTGCTGATCTTCATGATTTGATTCAGTAAATTTAGGATTCATTTTGAAGAAATCAATTATATATCCTATGTAGATAAGCCATATCAATTGCCACAAGATATATACTCTCGCATCTACAGCACAGGAACATGAAAATAAACCCACCATCTTGGCACTTACCCATTTCAACTAAGGTGACCACAATGTCTGAAAGGGTTGGCTGTGTCCTTGCGGTATGTTCACAAAAAGACTTGGCACTCCTCCCTATTTCACAAATATCTGACAAAAGAGAGTTCACCATAGCACTTAAGTTTGAAACCTAGAGTCACTTACATTATCAACATCAGCCCACTTCTGAATTAAGGAAACGATATCTCTGAAAAGTCAATTTGGTCTAGTGGTTAAGGCACTAGGCTAGAAAGCAGGACACTGTAAGTTCAAATCCTGCCTTAGCTTTAAAAGCTGGGTGGGTGGCTTTGGACCAGTCACTCTCTCTCAATCCAACTCACATTACAGGGTTGCTGTTTGGGGAAAATAGGAGGAGGAAATAACTCCAGAGAATAAAGATGGAATAAAAATGTAATTCTCCCCTCTTCCAGTGTTTAGGTTGCCAAGGAAGAGAGATATGGATAAAACTGCTATTATTCTCCTATATTATATACTATTCATAGTATTTTGGAACATGAGTCTTTAACCATCTTGTAAGGTATGTCCTTAAAATAAATGCAAAACAAGAAAGGCTGACCAAAGAGGTTCATTTTTATGTTTCAAGAATTGCTAAACAAACTAGACTTTAAAGAAAAATGGATGTTAGCATTTCCCAGGGCTGAATGAATAGGCAAACATACAATATGTTTCATTATAAAGTGAAAGGATTCCTAACTGTATGAGTGTATATGTATATATACACACACACACACACACACACACACACACACACAGATATAGTTTGATCTGGATG